AAAACATACGGCACCGTCTATGCTGGGTTACATCATACCAAAGCCCTTCAAGTGAATGGAAAGGGGGAGGGGAGGGGGCTTCACACGTCAATTCTCCTTAATGCCAAGGGTGCCACAAGGCCGGGAGGATAAAATACAGGGGGAAGAAGAAGGGGGGGGGGGGAGCTGCCAACGCCTCTATACAATTGGAACTTGAAAACGTATGCAAGTTATGAAGTCTAAAAATAGCGAAAAACATCGGGAGGAAATACCCTAAGAATGCAAATAAATCAAATAAATAATACAAACTAATACGATGGTAAATACGCATAATAAAGGCAAAAGAAAAAATCATGGAGAAGATTTACCCCCCCCCCCCCCGCTTGCCAGGCCTAAGGACAAGGGGAATGAGGGGAGAAGTAACGGCTATGCGGGGGTGAGGGGGGGGGGGGCGAACAAGGGGAAAGTATGTAAAATGGTTGTAGGTAATGATCAGCAGACTGGAGGGGGGAGGGGGAGAGAGGTAGGGTAGAAGAGTTAATAGGGATGGGGGAAGGGGGAAGGAGAGAAATGGGAAAAACACTGATGGGGATTTAACTCCCTCTCCGCCCCCTCTATCCTCCCCCCCCCCCCCGCAAACACACACAAGGTCAAACCCGGAAATTCCGAAAGCCCTTTCGAAACCCCCCAAACAGAAGGGCTCTAAATGGGAACCATTGTTCCTCCTCGTAGGCCGTGGCACTCAAACCTAACCCCCTCGACCCCCCTCCTTCCCTTTCCCCCTTACCCTTCATCCCCATCACCCCCTCCTCCCTCCCCTCCCTCCCGCCATAAAACCCAAACAAAACATGGCACTATCTGCGGCCCATGTGTCGGGCACTCAACCCCTCGCCAACCCCTTTCCCCTCAAGAGCCCCGGGGTGCCTCGGCTGCCCCTTTAAGGAATTTACAGTTAGACGTCTGTCCCCCTTTCCCCCTTGGATGGCCTTGGAGGACGAGCAGACGAGGGTAACTGAGGGGAAACGGAATGGAAGAGGAAGAAGGGGAGAGGGATAGGGAGAGAGGAGTGGGAGGAAATACGGGTGAGAAGAGGATGGGGAGAGGAATGAGAATTATGGAGACGAGACGGGAAAGAAAGGCAGAAAGGGAAGAGAGGAGACGAAAGGAAAGGGGGGTAAGGAAAAAAAAAGGAAGAGACACGACAGCAGAGGCCACCGAGACATGGGAAAGCCGAGCCTCGTCTGGACGCAATTACAGGCAAGCAAGCAAGCAGGCAGGCTCGGCGGTGCATCCAAGATGTGTACATTGAGTATCGATTCGGTGCACAGTTCCACGAGGGCGTCCACCGGCGTCCACCAGCCCCCTCCCTGCCCTCCCCGCCCCCCTGCACGCCGCTCGCTCGTTCCCCGCCGCGAGGGAGGGCGCGGGAGAAGCTGTTGTCAGGCACGTCATGCTGGGTCACCTGGAACCACTTCAGCGCAGCCAGGCAGATTTGTCGCCCCAGCGTCGTTTAGGAGTCGTTAGGACGTCGTTAAGAAGGCATCCGGTCCTCCCGCCGTCAGCACCTGGGGACGGATCGCTCGGGGAGGGCGGGGGAGAGGGAGGAAGAGAAGAAGGGGGGAAAAGGAGGGAGGAAAGGGAACAAGAGGAAAAGGAGAATAAGGATAAGAAAAGAGGGAGAAAAGGGAAGGATGAGAGGAAGAGAGAAAGAAGGGGGACGAGGAGGAGGAGGAAGAGCCACTGCCCTTCCTCTTGAAGTCTCTCTCCCAGCAAGACGCTTCCCTCGACTTTTTTCCGCCACATGCACGCCACCTGGCCGCCGCCGCCGACCGAACTTCTCCCCTTTTTTCTTAATAAACATCTTGCTTCCTCCAAGACAATCTTCCCTTACCGTTAGTACAACCCCTCAGCCATCTGTTGCCATCTGTCACGGCGGCGGACGATGGCAAGAAGGGAGGGGAGGGGGAGAGGGAGGTCAGGTTCGTTCTTTCTCCCTCCCTACCCCCCCCCCACGTGTCCATTTAAAACAATCACAGGAAATCAAAAGCTCCCTTTAACCCCGGACGATGCACCACAGGTTTCCTCTTCTCCTTACAAACTGCTCGCGAGAGAGGGAGAAGGGGAAGGGAAGGAGGGGAGAGGGGGAAGGGGAAGGGGGAGGCAAGGCTGCGTCCCAGAAGCGTCCGTGGGATTTGCATGCCTAATGAGATCCGAGGATTTCCGGCGAAAGAGACGACTGACGCTTCGTAAGAGGAAGGAAGTAGGGGGGGGAGGAGTGAAGAAAGTAGAAGGGAAGGGGGACAGGAAGAGGAGGAAGCAGGAGGGAAGAGTAGAGAAAACGAAGGGGAGGGAGTAGGAAAGGGAAGGATGTAGGTGATTAAGCGAAGGGGGAAGGGGAAAAGGGGAAGGGAGGAAGAGGTTAAAAAGTACAAGAGACGAAGGTAAGAAGCAGAGGTGTCGGAAGGAGATTCGGAAGAGAAACGAAGGAAAAGGAAACAAGGAGACCGCGAAGAAAAGGGAGGGAGGAGAGGAAGTGAAGCCGGAACAGCCCCTGGCGATTCCCATTCCTAATTCCCTTCCCCTGACAGAGAAGCGAAGGGGCCATGGCAACGACGACGACGACATGACTTGACAGCAGCCATTACTCACTCCCAAAGCCTCAGTGCGGAAGCGATATCACGATCTGACTGTCCTAACACGAACAAAAAAGCGAAATAAATCAAGTTAAAAAGAAAATGAGAAAAGGGGAAAAAAGTCCGTCTGACAAAAATAACGAAATTGGAAGATATGAAAAACACGAAAGCAGCGCCTGAGTCTCCACGCCGCCGAGACGCTCGCGAACACCAGGTGAAGGAGGGGCGGCTGCTGACGGAGGAGATCGCCGTCAGATAAGCTCCTCGCGCCCGCTGACTCTGCTCGCCGGGGACGCCGCCCTTGTCTGCCGCTGCTTTCTCGGACCAGATGCAGGACAGCCTTGCAAGGCCCCCAAAGCCTCGCGCCCACTACGCCCACCCAGGAGCCCCGCCCACTTTGGGTACAGACGCGAGGCGGTCTACTTCCCCCCCCCCCCATCTCCAAGAACGCTCAAAGTAAAAAAAAAATCCTAGCCACCGACGCCCCTTTAAATCCCTCCCCTTTTAAAGGTTCCATCCTCATCCTGCCGTCTTCATCCTCCTGGGAACTTCTGGGCCGCGGTCAAGGATTAGCTTATCCCTTTCACAACGGGGTTATTAGAGACGCCAAATACCCCACACAAAAATACCATATACCCTTTTCGAAGGCTGGGTCCGCTCGGGAGGCACAGAATTCCCGAGAATTTGTGATCGTATTTGATGGAAAGAGGGAGACGCCGCGACCCAAGACCCGGGGTAGGATTTCTTGTGAGACGGTCTGGTGCGCGGGCATTCATTCGCCGCGCTTTTGAAAAGACCAGCGCCATCCAAAACACAGCCTTTTAAACCACGCAGCGCTCTGAAAAGGGGTTAGAAGATTATCCACAACCCTTGTTCCTTATCCACAATCCTTGTCCCTTTTCCGTCCCTATCAAGCCCTCGCAGCCCACAAGCCCTAAACGTTCCACCCGCGCTTCTACACAACCAAACCCCCAACACTTGTCGAAACGCCCACCTCCCACCCATCACCCACGCCCGCGCCCTCTCTCAGTCCCCACCCATCCACCCTTACATTTTTCCTGTCCTCGTCGAGGCTTCATCTGACATACAGTGGATCACCTGCGCCGCCACCTCCACCCCCACGCTCGCCCGTCAGCCAGCCTGCACTCCGCTGGCTTTGTGACGCGCTCGGCGATTGGGGAAAAAGGCTTTGGCTTTGAATTGATAAAGAATCTTGTTAAAGAATCCGGCAATTTTGTTAAATGGCTTGTCAGAGTATGAACAGGATTGAAAGCAAACCTATAACCATAACGCGATTGATTCACAACCCTATCAATCCCCACAGACATCACAACCCTCGTCCTAGCGATTTATCTTACAACCTCATGATACAACCCCCCCTAAACGCCACCCTCACACCCGCCCAATAAGCCACCCACCCACTTCCAAGACAAAGAAGACAGAGCCCGGGCATCACCACGCCTAAAGCACCCGATCTCATCCAACAACAGAGCGGCTAGCCAGGCTACCTTCCCACTCCCCCACCTTCCCTAACTTCCCCTCCTCCACCCCCAGGACACACCGTGGTCAAAAAAGGTGGGAGAGAGGGGTGAGAGAAGGGGAGGAAAGGGGAGGGGAGAGGGTAAGGGGTAAACAATCCCCTCTCCCTCTCCTCCACCCCAACCCCCACCATAAACCAGGGAGGATGGGGGAGAGGGAGAGGAAGAGAGGACGCGGCTGGGGTTGTAATCAAGGAACAATTGCTAGGATCTCGATGCTTGCGCCCACAAAGCAACGCCCACCTGGCTCGCAGCGACTTTCTTTTCAAGAGAAATAACATGAAAGGTTGTTGGCAGAGTTAAACAAGTCTCGGCAAATGCATAACGCTTGCAAAACTATAAATAATTATAATATTATCCAACTTCAAAATAGAAAATACAAAAATAAAAACTTAAAAAAAAACTACAACCCTTTAAATTAAAGAAAACGAGAGGAGAGTGAAAAATAAAAAAATAAAACGTAAAAAGAGCTTTAGTTGATCCCGCGTCTGCCTGCCAGCGACCGACGCTCTCCCGGCCGAGACTCCAACGCAGCCGCCCAGAGACTACGCTTGTCAAAAAACACCGAATTTCTATCGCTTTTCACTCGTTCGACTATTTTCACTTCTATCCCATACCCTTTCGGATCGAATTTACTCCTTTCGGGCGAGGGGAGATTGGCACAGCCCCCCTCGAGCGGAGACAAAGGGCGGAGAGAGAAGGGAGGGTCGGGGAGTCGCGCTAGTCGGCCCCCACTCCAACAGCGACGCCGCGGCTCGCCCTTGCTCCTCGAATAAAATCCTTCCTGCGGCCTTTTTAAAACGTCTTACGGAATCCCCGACAACGGAAAATGGTAAATCCTGGTACTCACCTCGTACTTCAAACCAGCGAGCCTGAGCCAAGTCTCCACCTTGAGGCAGTAGGGGCTGAGGGAGGGCAGGACGGGCGTGCGGGTGAATTGGTACAGGTACACCACGTCCTTCTCGAAATCCAGCTTGTGTACCGCCGGCTTGGGAGGCGCAGGTTCCTTCTTCGGTTTGGCTTCCTTCTTCTCATCCTTCTTCTCTTTGTCCGCTTTCTCGGCTTTGTCGTCAGCCTTTTCCTCGGCGTTGTTCACCTCAGCCTCCTCCTTCTTGACTTCGTCCTTCGCCTCCTCCTTCTTCTCCTCGGTCTGCTCCACGGGCTTAGTGTCGGTCTCGGTCGTCATGTTGGATGCAAAAGCGGTTTTAAAACAGAACCAAAGTCGAAAAACGCAAAGGAGTGAGGAGCGTACAGTGGGGGGGTCTTAAAACCAATGCGACGGGTCACACGTCTCGTCCGCGCACACAGCTGGCCGACTGAGCCACGACTGAGCCACGCCCGGCTCCTCCGCCCAAGCCAAGCCAGTGACGTCACGCCGCTCCGCGCTCATTGGCCGACGCCGCGATCCTGCCCCGACCCTCCGAGGATTCCAATTTCACGTTTTTTTAGGACTATTATTCGGAGGCGATTGACGAAGGCCTTAGGTTCTGTCTTGGGGTGTTAGGGTAGGAGTTTATTTGCTTGAAAGAATGAAGCGTCTCCATTTTTAAAATCTGTTTCCGCTCAGGCTCTCGCTTGACTATGGAGTTGCCCGCCATTTTTAAAGACGCTTAAACGCCAACTCGACCAAACAACTAAAAGATCTTTGGCTTGTCGGCGGCAATGGAGCTTGTTATTGCACCATCACAGGCTGTCCAACTTGTATCAAAGTTTCTCATTCATTCGGCGTAACTTACTGAACCCCTAAAAGAAGAAAAAAGAAAATATACGAATGAACATAGCAACGACTGTGAGAGAGACAAATATAAAACACATAATTACAAAGGAGATATAAATACCATTTACTCTAAATAAGCTCATTTGAAAATTAAAAGACAAATAGACAACAGAAAAGAAAAGACAACTCATCGCATTATTCACGAGTTCAACCCAAGGCACGCTTTAGATCACCCCGAATCATCAAGCGATTTAATTCTAATGTTAATTTAATGTTTTATGACTTTGCCGTGAGAGCCGAGGAAGCAACGTAAGGTCCCTGTATGACGATAAGCCATCAATTCAGCAGTCGTGGTTATTTGCTCAGCACAAACTAACCTTAGCTCTGCGCCATTAAGATAAGAGAAGGCAAATATTCACGATTGACTCCCGTTAACCTAATAGCAGTAATAATCCGTCCCTTTTTCCTATCCTGTGAGAATTGCTTGAAGGAAATCACGCGACGGTTATTAAAGATTGGGTAATTAGCATCGAATTGATAGATTCGGTGATATAGTGACCCATGTAATTAGAGAGAAAAAAAATATGTATAAAATCTTGCTGACTCTTGCTTCAATATCAACACCCGGTGATGCCATAACGGGATCCCCGATTAAAAGACAGGTGCGCGGGGATTTGCATGTGCAGGTGAAATGCATTTGAAAAAAATGTGAATAAGCATATGGGGAAATCCAAGTTTTTCTTTGCAATAATGCTGATGTATGATGATGCTGGTGGAATGTCTCAGTGTTTCTCGCTCTCTCTCTTCCTCTGTTTCTCTCTGTCTGTCTGTCTGTCTGTCTGTCTGTCTCTCTCTCTCTCTCTCTCTCTCTCTCTCTCTCTCTCTCCTCTCTCTCCTCTCTCTCTCTCTCTCTCTTCTCTCTCTCTTCTCTCTCTCTCTCTCTCTATCTCTCTTCTCGTCTCTCTTCTCTCTCTCTCCTCTCTCTTCTCTCTTCTCCTCTCCTCTCTCTAGCTCCTCTCTCTCCTCTCTCCTCTCCTCTCTCTCCCTCTCTCTCTTCTGCTCCTCTCCCTCCTCTCTAATTCTTCGCGTCTCATGTTTCTTAAGAAATCCGCTTCTCCCTCTCCCTCCTTTCTTCAAGAATCGCGTCCGCATGTGAAAAAACATAAAAGCGTTGGACAGTAATTCATAAAGAAGGGCCGTTTTAGCGAAGAATGTATTTAGTGAAGAGATAATAAGGGGAATAATACTCGCGATGATGGTACACTGAGGGCAGGGACTTGTAATGATTTAAGTGTGAGAAAATGCTGGAAGTAGGTCGTTGAGGGAGGGAGAGGAAGGGTGAGAGGGAGAGGGAGTGAGAGAAGGGGGAGAGGATAGTAAGGAATGAGGGAGGGAGGGAAGTGGAGGAAAGGGAGGAAGAAGAGTTAAAATGGGGGAGGGAGTGCGAGAAGGGGAAGGGGATAGAATAGAAGAGGGGAGGGAGGAAAGAGGTGAGGAGAGGGAGTGAGAGAAGTGAGGACAGAAAAGAAGGAGGGTGGGAGGGAAGGGGGGAGGAGGGAGGGAGAGGAAGGGTAAGAGAAGGGGAGGATGATAGAAAAGGAGGAGGGAGAGGAAGTGTGAGAGGGAGAGACAG